AAGGCATTAGAAGAATTTAAAGATATTGCTACACTATTTACAAAGGAAAGACATATTCATCTAATTCATGTTTCATACAATTAACTTGGAAATTTTTTATTGTGCATAAATATCCACGATCTAGTTATGACGTAGGAATAAGCAAAAAGAATATGTTTACGCATGTTACCATAATACATGAGGCAAATTTTAGTCATAACTAACTTAGATATTGAATATCCCATTAAACAGGTATTTTAATAAACATAATAACGAAATCTGCCATTGAACTTTAGCGTATTATTTGATTTAAGACAATCTGCAATTCACAGTTGACTTCAATAATTTATAAAGATTATTTCGTGTCATGATTTCATGACGAATGAGTTTTATTTCATCAGCATCTGTTTCGTAAAACCTGCTAAATGTCATAGTTATCATTGCGTTACTTCGTCGCGTACCGAATTCTCTCGATCGAACCGTGGCAACCCACTGTTACATTCCTTAAGATATGCAACTTTGAGTTATCTATATCACGATGGACGCCTAAACGCGAGCTTCAATCGTGGAAACATTGAAATCGACGTGTTCCGGATTCGTTCAACACATTTGAAGCCGTCTAGTTCGCTGAAAATGGTCGACAGTGGTCGATATTCGTATTTACAAAATAGTGACGAACCATTCCGGACCCCCAGGTCCTTCTATTCACACTCTGCCACCTTCGTTTGAAAACGTCGTCCACGTTTCTTCGATATGTAAATAATCGTCAAAAAAATACGAAAGTCATCGTTGGCGTCCGTCAGGGTAAACAGTTCTTCATTTTGATCGTGACTTCTTTATTCTCTTCCTTCTTCTTTCTTTTTATACGAAAAATTTGATCATTGTTCTTTACGTTTTGTTCGATTTCATCTGTAATCGTCGCTCGGTTTTTCAGGAAATTTGTCCTAAACACATTTGTCGCGCACGATCAGATCGTTTAATTGAATCTAGCTATCGTAGAAAAGATAGGAATAAACCTTCTCGCTACTATTTGACTGCGACATTCCTCGGAAATGGAAACCGAGAGGTTCGTCGGGTAGAACGATGATCGTTTCCTCGGATTCGCGTGACATTTTCATGGCAAAGCGTCGAGAGAAATAAATAATTATTGTCAAGAACTGTATCATCTGTTGAACACTGTTTCCGATGATTATACGAGACATTACACGAGTATTCGGCCACTTCCTCGTCTCCTGTTTCGCTTAGGCTATTTTCATCACTCTAGCTTCGAACTTCACGAAATTAAAACTGTGTATCACTTAGATGCGTGGGTTGGTTTCAACAACATTTTGTTCATTCAACATCGAACACTTTCACGAATGATTCTACGTCGTCCGAGATATCACTCATAATATCACTGTAATACTATTTTCGCTGTCTCTCGCCACCTTTACCAAAGTACCTCTTAAAGGTCTTTATCATCGTTGATCCCTGAACACAACGAGAGACTCGAAGATCACATGCCTGATTCCGCTATTCCTTCATCATCTGCAAAGACATAGAAGGAACTGTTAGAACTTCAGTTGAAAACTGAAATGTATACACCACCACGGTTAGGTGCATTTACTCTGACCAACTTTTAGATCGTAAACCAAGTTTTCGCATTTTTGCATTGGATATATGGTTTTTGAAACAGAATATACAGCAAAGTTTATGGTTAATTATATAATTTCCGAATCTATTTTTTCCTGCTAAA